CTGCAGGTTACTGACCTCAACGCCTCGACACCTTCACTTGGCATTATCTGGATTCTGCACCCTAAGCTGCAGCAACTGTTTCTGCTGCCTTGGTATTAGATTATATGGGTATAATTAGGACCTGATATGACCATATTTGAGTTTAATTTTGAATTTTTATTTAATGAAAGAATATCCATGTCAAGGTCTAAGTGTATTTGAATATTTTTGGGAACTCGTATTAACACTATTATATTTCACAGAGACCATCATTCATCTAATCGCTCATCTAACCATTCATTTACTCATCCCAGCACAGCTAACACAAGGAAAGATCTTTCTGCGTGGAGCAACGTAACTTATATCATAAGTGATGAACTAAAAATTGAAATCAAGCCATGAGATTATTGAAGGTGGTACCCATTTGCTTTGCATTGGCCTTTAGCCATTAATGAGTTCCCTAATATTTACATCTGCACCTTGCCATTGTGCATGTTCTCCACTGACCTTCTGTCATGAAGCTTTCCTGGTTATTTCTTGAAATTTTGAAATCAGTCGAAAAAAGAAAAGAAATGAATTTACTTATTGATAAGGTTCCTCATACTACATACTTAATCTAAATATTTATTATTTTTGTATCATATATTCCTTTTTATATCTCTATACTATCATTACATTCTTTTTCTCTTTGCTTAACTGATTTGTCAGTCACTGATTATAACTTATATACATTTACCCATTTATTATTTAAGTTCGTTATTTTAGTTCGTTTTTTAGTATAATAAATGCATAATTCTGAATTTCTGAAAGTATCTTAGTGTTGCCATGAATACATGCTAAATTTCGTATTAGGAGCCATGCGAGTGCCTGGTCGGAGGAATATGGTGTAAACCTAAATGAAAAGGGATCATTCCACACTCCTTAGACATGGTTGCAGGCCCATTCCGCAGACCCATTCTTAAGACCCATTCGCCATTATATTTTTTTACTATCAGTCGTCTTCAGTCGACCACCTTATCAACTTTGCAACAACATCGTCGAAGCATTGCACAGGCAACATGCGGGGAATGTATTGTATGTACTACATATATGGTCTCTATATCTAATCGGCCCCTGACTACATAAACTCTATGTGCCCACTATACATTGTGGAGTATTTCTCCCCCAAAGATATCTCGTGCGTCTGTCTATGCGTTTTGGGAACACACGCACACATTCTCATTAATTTTTTCCTTTCCTATTCTTTCCCTTGTTTCTGTTGCTGTTTCGTTAATTAGTTTAATTTGTTTGCGGCCATGCAATTAAATGGAGATAAAAACACCAAAAGAAAATTCAATAGAAATGGAAAAAGAAACAGAACACAACAAGAGAACCGATCCTCCATTCATTCATTCATTTATTGAGTGTCCAAGAAGTCAGTGGAACATCTACAGAAGAGCATTGCTGCTATGTGTGAATTGCCATAATCTATGGATTTGATGGATAAATAATCGATAAATGATATAATAGGATTGGCAAATGGATCTCTTCATTATCTTTAATTATTCGAATTATCGTTCAGCGCACCACTTGATAGAACTACTAGTGCAATGCGATTATCCCAAGCCTGTATTTGTATGATTGATCATCTTGGAAAAAAGTAATTTTGGTCACAAAGTCTCTTTTGTTAATCGAAAACCATTACCAGTGATCAAATCGAAACGAAATCGAATTTTGCGATTGGTTTTTGTTTCCATAGGACAGGACATAGGACATTTGCAAGACGCGTAGAGCCGTAGACATGGCTTCAGATGGCCGCTAACTCGATGGAAAATTAATTAAATTTGCATAATTATGCATCGCATTTTGATTCGTGTTTGTTTCTGCCCTCTGCCTGCTTTTTGCTTTGTTTTTCTGTTTTTATACCCGTACTCAAAAAAGAGTTAAGGGGTATATTAGATTTGTGGTAAAAGTGGATGTGTGTAACGCAGAGAAGGAACATTTTCCGACCCCATAAAGTATATATATTCTTGATCAGCATCAATAGCCGAGTCTATATAGCCATGTCTGTCTGTCCGTCCGTCCGTCCGTCTTGTTGAGCGCCTGGATCTCAGAGACTATAAAAGTTAGGGTAACCAAATTTGGTTTCCAGACTCATGTGATATCACACTGCTACAAGTGTGTTTCAAAATTTCGCCCCGCCTCCTTCCGCCCACGCAAAAGACGAAAATCTGTGGCAGCCATAATTTTAAAGATACGATAAAACTAAAAACGCAGTATCGTAGAGAATGCCCATATCTACCAGACTGCTGAATCTGAATCAGATCGGATCATAATTATAGCCAGAATGAAGAAATTAATTTTCTGTTGCTTCCCCTGCCACCTCCTGCCAACAACAACGCAACTCATTTTCCTTCTCGCTCGCACACTCTGCCGCATTCAGTGCGCGAGCAACCCCTAGCGGAGGAGTTGTAGAATCTAAAAGGTACATGTAGAATACATGTTAGATGTATAATATAAATAGTATATGTAGATGTAGATAACAGATGTAGCAAAAAAATTTAATATGTAAAATTTTTTTTTTTTTAATTCTAAAATTCTAAAAAATCATATGCTCAAAAATGTATATACTGACTGAGTACGGGTATAAGTAGAGTCGCGTCCCCAGAAGCGACTCGCACGTTCCTTCTCGTTTGAATTCTAAAATTCTAAAAAATCATATGCTCAAAATTGTATATACTGACTGAGTACGGGTATAAGTAGCACGTTCCTTCTCGTTATATATGTATATCCGCTCATTATTATCGAATATACCATGTTAAAAGAAATTATCATTGGAGGGATATACAATATAAGAGTTTTTTAAAATTGGGGTGGTAAGCGCTGTAAAAAAACTTATGCATGTGCACACATACAGTCGTCGCGACGACGCGGCTCGGCTGTCGCAGCGGCAAAGAACCAACTTCGTGTGCCTTCGTATGCTGTATGCATACAAGAGAGCGGCTGGCTCTAGAGCGCTCTCTCTCTCTAAAAAAAGAGAGGCTCAAGAGAGCCTGGAGCCAGCTCTAAAGCCAGCCTGTGTGGCGTGTGGCGGTATGTATCTTATTATACCCGTACTCAAAAAAGAGTTAAGGGGTATATTAGATTTGTGGTAAAAGTGGATGTGTGTAACGCAGAGAAGGAAAATTTTCCGACCCCATAAAGTATATATATTCTTGATCAGCATCGATAGCCGAGTCGATATAGCCATGTCTGTCTGTCCGTCCGTCCGTCCGTCCGTCCGTCCGTCCGTCTGTCCGTCTGTCCGTCTCGATGAGCGCCTGGATCTCAGAGACTATAAGAGCTAGCGAAACCAAATTTGGTTTCCAGACTTATGTGATATCACACTGCTACAAGTGTATTTCAGAATTTCGCCCCGCCCCCTTCCGCCCCCACAAAGAACGAAAATCTGTGGCAGGCACAATTTTAAAGATACGATAAAACTAAAAACGCAGTATCGTAGAGAATGCCCATATCTACCAGATTGCCAAATCTGAACTAGATCGAATCATAATTATAGCCAGAATGAAGAAATTAATTTTCTGTTCCTTCCCTGCCCCCTCCCTGAACACAATAACACAACTCATTTTCCTTCTCGCTCGCACACTCTGCCGCGTTCAGTGCGCGAGCAACCCCTAGTGGAGGAGATGTAGAATCTAAATGGTACATGTAGAATATACATGTTAGATGTATAATATAAATAGTATATGTAGATGTAGATAACAGATGTAGCAAAAAAATGTAAAATTTCTTTTTTTTTAAGTTCTAAATAATTATATGCTTAAAAATGTATATGCTGACTGAGTACGGGTATAAGTAGAGTCGCGTCCCCAGAAGCGACTCACACGTTCCTTCTCGTTCTTATATTGTCTTTGGTCATAGCCTCTGATGCCTAATGCAGTCGTCGCTGTCAACAAGGTACATTTTAATATAAGGTAGGGCAATGCCTTAGCAAGTGGCCGCAACTCATTTGGCAGCTTACCGCTCTTCGTGATATACCTTTGCTGTTCACTTTGCTGCCCCACTGCGACGCGACTGACAATAGATCAATGACTGCCAAACCGATTCCATGAAGGCGGAATGGGCGAGGGGTCCAAAGTGCAAGGTTTTTGACTCTATGCCTACAACTTCAGGTGTTCCACTGTATATGGGCTCATACACACAATAATAGTTAGCAGCCGCTGGGGCCAAAGGGCAACCCCACAAATTGACAGAATAAGACATAACTATATATGCACCTACCAGCTACACCGCAAGAGAGAGCATTAGAGTATGAAAACTTCTCATATCGCACCGAATTCTAGTGGTCTCGAAACAACAACAAAAGTAGTCAATAAACTTTTTCTTTTTGCACAGAAACTAAAACAATTTTGGGAAAACAATCAAATTGAAACTTATTCATTGTTTACGATCTGCTCCTCAAGATCGTCGCTGTCTTCTTTCAGTGTCTCGTTGTCCTCCTCGCAGTGGGCTTTGTCCATCCCGAGGGCGCAGTTCTTCTCCTTAAGAAACTTCTTAACTTTCTCTATGATAGCATTCTTCTTGTCAAGATCATCTTTTTCTTTCTTATGCGTCTCGTTATCGCAATCGCAATCGCGATCGTCTTTCTGTTGGGGCTCGTCCGCCTCCTGAATGGCTGCAAGCCCGTTTGGCGGCAACAAAGTAACAAAATGGAAACGCTCGCCCATCAGCTGATAGTAAAGATGAATGAAGGGCTCCGAGCAGCAGTAGTTGCTGCTAACCGAGATGTCAAAGTACTGCATATTCGACTTGCGGATTGTTGGATCAAATTTGAAAACGGTGCGGTTGGGGTCGCCCGCCTTGTTGCCACAAATGACAGTGGGAATGCGGCCGCAATCGTTCCACAGTTGGGTGTTCCACAGGACCACATTGTCACAGGTCTCCTCGTCGGTCAGATCGCACATAATGATGGCACAGTCACTGCCTCTATGGTACATGCGGCCCAGTACGGGATGCTTGTGCTCACCGGTGGTGTCAAAAACATTGAAGCGAACGGGTCCACGTTTGGTCTGGAACACGAGATCCTGTTCAGTGTGCATTATTGTCGGCCAATAGTAGGAATTCGCATTGAAACGGCCTGTGAGGAGTCGATTTATCAATGAGGTCTTGCCCGTTTTACAATCGCCCACAACGACCAGCTTGTAAGTGGGCAAATTATCCATGTAGTACATGGTTGAAAGCAGTTTTAATAGCAATAGAATTTATTGTACAAAGTATACTTTTTGGGAGGAGAGAGCAAAGTGAGTGCCTGCTGTGCCTTATCCAAGGGAAAATCTACAATGGGATTGGCTTTGAAGGGTTTGTTTCATTATTGATGGTTTGGACTATTATTATTATGCTCTCTTTTCAAATGTGGCTTAGCAGGCTGCAGGCGTGCATTTATTGCCATATTTTGTGATTGAAGATTTTAAAATTAATTTAAAAACGTAAAATAAGTTCTCTCTCTGTCAAACTCTTTATCTGTCCTTATCTGTATCTCTATTTATCTATCATTCTTCCGTCTAACTACTAAAACGTCCTTCAAGATCAAGTTTCTGCTATTACTGCCTTTTTTCTTTGGGAATCAAGAGCCAAGAAATTCATTCGTTTTTGGCAAAAGTCTAAAGTTATTTGTTTTTCTTTTTGAATTTGTTTTGTATTCCAGGCTTTTTGTTTCTTCTTCCACTCTTTTTTGGCGGCACGTTTCATTTGCAACACTCACAGATACACAGGTACATTAGCTAAAGCTAAAGCTACAGATACAGGAATTAAATCAAGTTTGGCTTTTGGTCAAAAGTCGTCGGGTGTCGTCGTCGTAGTTGTTGTCGCGTGTGGGGACTGCTGTGCGGTGTCAAAAATTTGTCTTTTTACAGCTAATGGGCTCATTTACAGATGGCCACTGAAGGCGGGGAGGCACACGGGTGCAGGGTCCAAGCGTCAAGCAGTCTGTTGTTTACCTTACCCAATCCCAATCCTCAATCGAATCTCGGAATCTGAATATCGAAATCAAAGCGAAACGAATCGCAAAACAGTCACATACCTGCAAAGAGAGTGACAGAGACAGAGGGAGAGAAACGCTTGTTAATTGAATTATTAATCCATAAATCAATATCTGGCAAATGCTTAATGGGATCGTAGATGATGATCCGGCATTAATGAGTTTCCTAGTTTCCTCTGAAAGTGTGTCATCCGCATTGTTGAGCATGGGAGCATTGTGGGCTGCCGCTTGTTCAACTCACGCTTCATGCGAATTTCCAGCATGACCACGCATTCGTCAAACTCCTCCCTCAAGGGACTGCCAATCTCATCGAGATCAATCCTCTCCAGGGCATTATGGTGCTCGTTGAACGAAGCGACCAGATCCGCTAGCAACTTTAATCGCACATTTAACTCCTCCTCACTGAGTTCGCCAATCCTCTCCTTGCCGACGGCAGTTTCCATTCTCCGTGCTACTCCCTACCATGGATTGCACCTTGCGCTTGTTGAATGCAGCTTCCGAATCGACGAACAAAGGTAAGGGGGGCGAGATTGAGCTAACAGTTTGAAACGCACTGCACTTGTGCATCCGACAACAACAAAGGCATGCACACTGAGAGCACGAAACCGAAACGAAACAGCAGCAAGCAAGCAGACCGCAAAGCAGATGACGCGAGAACCGTTTCTGTTGCTTGTGCACATACGACAAACCGAAAAACCGTGGTTCAAAGCAAATTTATCCAACGAAAATGTTATGTTTTTTGTGATAAAATTTAACGAGTTTCTATCACGTCGGGGTCACCAAATGTTGAGCTACTGAGCTTCTTCAGTAGCGTTGTTTTGCCAGATTATTTAAGAGACGACGATTGTTCAGTTAATATATTCACAGTTTATTGTACTTAAGTTAATATATATGTTTTCTCCAAAACTAGCGAAAGGTGTGCGTATTTGATAACGAGAGTTAACGATGGGTCGATTGAAGACGCGGGGGCCGGTTCAAGACTGTTGAAGTTGTTAGGTTTATGTAAGGTTTAGTTCAGAACTCTGTGGCAGGCAGGTCACTGTGCCAGACAGCAAAACGTTTTACTACGGTGATGATCGAATCTGAAGTGTCTGCTGCTTTCTCTGACGAGCCTCCCCCACAGCGGCTGTCGAACGCCGACAGAGAGCAAAGCACCAGATAGAGCATAAGCAAAGCAAACAAAACGGTAATAAAGAGAGACGTTACATTTAAGAGATGTTACATATGGTCTCATTGCTCATTGTGCTGCCATGGGCCGGCGCTTAGCCGAACAATATGTTTTGACAAAAAGTGGCAACGCCATCCCGCTGTTTTGATTCTGCACTGTGCTTATATTTATTGCTAATTGCTTTTATTCGAAGTATAAGGCAAAATGTACTGTAATGGAGGGAAGAAAAAACGTGGGCTGCTGCACAATTCTGTTCCGGGAGTCTGTCTTTCTCCTCGTGATCGTCAAAGAGTTCAGTAGTGCGATATTCTGGTGCTATGTATAATAGATGAATCTTAACCCTATATACAGCCAGACACCACGCGGATTAATTGAGATAGTTGTGCTCGCCAGTTAAAAGACAAATTTTCCAACCATTCATATTCGGGCTATATCTGTGAGTATGCTCATATTTCAACCGATATCCAGTGGTCTAAAAAAGTGAATTGTCGCAAAATTTTTCGATGCAGCGTGAGGTGTACCTAACCCCAAGACCACGGCAGCACCTGCGTGGTCAGCCACAACGCTCGTATCATCCCTCCTGGAGAAGAAATCCACGTTTTCGATTAAAGTGGTGCATTTCCCATTGGGGTAAATATCAAGCCGCTCATTTCCAATATTTGGTTTTAAAGTGTTCCTCTGTATATATAGGACTTAGCACCACTAATTGCGTTTTGCAAGTAACGTCGCCGAAGGGTGTTCCTCGGGCTTTGCCCTTGAACCACTCTCCACGCCCGGCTGTACCGATAGGCTTGCCACTACATTGAGCAGCCTCCTATAGGAGATCATAGCCACCTGGTGAACTGTGCGCCCTCACGATCTGAGACGCCAAGCGAGGCTTTCATGTCGCAGTGAAGGGTTTTGCTGGATCCGTTAGGTGCCGTGCCGCAGCACCATCTATGTCCGCCCCATAGTGCCAGCCTCGACGGAGTGCCTGCAGGTTACTGACCTCAACGCCTCGACGCCTTCACTTGGCATTATCTGGATTCTGCACCCTAAGCTGCAGCAACTGTTTCTGCTGCCTTGGTATTAGATTATATGGGTATAATTAGGACCTGATATGACCATATTTGAGTTTAATTTTGAATTTTTATTTAATGAAAGAATATCCATGTCAAGGTCTAAGTGTATTTGAATATTTTTGGGAACTCGTATTAACACTATTATATTTCACAGAGACCATCATTCATCTAATCGCTCATCTAACCATTCATTTACTCATCCCAGCACAGCTAACACAAGGAAAGATCTTTCTGCGTGGAGCAACGTAACTTATATCATAAGTGATGAACTAAAAATTGAAATCAAGCCATGAGATTATTGAAGGTGGTACCCGTTTGCTTTGCATTGGCCTTTAGCCATTAATGAGTTCCCTAATATTTACATCTGCACCTTGCCATTGTGCATGTTCTCCACTGACCTTCTGTCATGAAGCTTTCCTGGTTATTTCTTGAAATTTTGAAATCAGTCGAAAAAAGAAAAGAAATGAATTTACTTATTGATAAGGTTCCTCATACTACATACTTAATCTAAATATTTATTATTTTTGTATCATATATTCCTTTTTATATCTCTATACTATCATTACATTCTTTTTCTCTTTGCTTAACTGATTTGTCAGTCACTGATTATAACTTATATACATTTACCCATTTATTATTTAAGTTCGTTATTTTAGTTCGTTTTTTAGTATAATAAATGCATAATTCTGAATTTCTGAAAGTATCTTAGTGTTGCCATGAATACATGCTAAATTTCGTATTAGGAGCCATGCGAGTGCCTGGTCGGAGGAATATGGTGTAAACCTAAATGAAAAGGGATCATTCCACACTCCTTAGACATGGTTGCAGGCCCATTCCGCAGACCCATTCTTAAGACCCATTCGCCATTATATTTTTTTACTATCAGTCGTCTTCAGTCGACCACCTTATCAACTTTGCAACAACATCGTCGAAGCATTGCACAGGCAACATGCGGGGAATGTATTGTATGTACTACATATATGGTCTCTATATCTAATCGGCCCCTGACTACATAAACTCTATGTGGAGTATTTCTCCCCCAAAGATATCTCGTGCGTCTGTCTATGCGTTTTGGGAACACACGCACACATTCTCATTAATTTTTTCCTTTCCTATTCTTTCCCTTGTTTCTGTTGCTGTTTCGTTAATTAGTTTAATTTGTTTGCGGCCATGCAATTAAATGGAGATAAAAACACCAAAAGAAAATTCAATAGAAATGGAAAAAGAAAGAGAACACAACAAGAGAACCGATCCTCCATTCATTCATTCATTTATTGAGTGTCCAAGAAGTCAGTGGAACATCTACAGAAGAGCATTGCTGCTATGTGTGAATTGCCATAATCTATGGATTTGATGGATAAATAATCGATAAATGATATAATAGGATTGGCAAATGGATCTCTTCATTATCTTTAATTATTCGAATTATCGTTCAGCGCACCACTTGATAGAACTACTAGTGCAATGCGATTATCCCAAGCCTGTATTTGTATGATTGATCATCTTGGAAAAAAGTAATTTTGGTCACAAAGTCTCTTTTGTTAATCGAAAACCATTACCAGTGATCAAATCGAAACGAAATCGAATTTTGCGATTGGTTTTTGTTTCCATAGGACAGGACATAGGACATTTGCAAGACGCGTAGAGCCGTAGACATGGCTTCAGATGGCCGCTAACTCGATGGAAAATGAATTAAATTTGCATAATTATGCATCGCATTTTGATTCGTGTTTGTTTCTGCCCTCTGCCTGCTTTCTGCTTTGTTTTTCTGTTTTTATACCCGTACTCAAAAAAGAGTTGTGAGAGTAAAACAGGGGTATGCACTTTTGTATCTCTTTATTACGCCGCACACGTCTTATTTTTCTTAATGCCCCTTTTCGAATGCGCGAGCGTCTTTTCTGGAGGCCGTATATTCTGTCCTTTTCCAGTGTGACCTTATATTTAGGGGTTATTCATATGCGATAGTGATGCCGTATTGGCAGTGGGTTAATCTTATAGAGAGGGGCTGATAGGGGTTATCCTACCACAACTCGGCCAT